CATTCTAAATCCCCTTCTGGAGATAATCGCCCGTGCAAAAATATGGTATTGAGAATGTCCCCCATTTCTTTCTCCCTTCGCCTCCGAGTAGGGGATTTTTTTTTTTTTTTTTCCTTTTTTAAATGTCCCGTGGCAAATAAAAACAACCCGATGCATTTTACTAGCGCCGCAGATTATGTATGTATATAGAGAGACAGAGAGAGATAAAATTTTACTGACAATTATGGTAGAATTTATGGTGTCAATTTTACTCGCTGGTTCAGTCGAGGGAAAGAGCAGGGCTGGAGCAGGGAAGGCAAAATCCGATTATTCCTGTACAGCAACAACAGAAGGGAGAAAAGAGATTCTTCGGAGCGGGAGATTTCTGCGCCCCCCCCTCTCGTCCACCCCTCCCCCGCCGCCCCGAGCCAAACCGGGCTCTGCAACAAAAGAAATCGCGGAGTCTGCGAGCGCTGCGCTGCAGCCGCGTTGGGGCGGACATATTTCCTCGAGGGCGGCTCTGCGCGCCCCGACACCCCGACAGGGTGGGAGCGGAGCCCGCTCCGCTACCGCGTATCCATCGCACAGATATGTACCGAGAGCCAAATAAGACAGAGCGCACTCGTGGTCTTTGGCAGAAGTTGTTGTTAGGAAAATTCAGAGCCGTGCAGCGCAATAAAAGAAAATGACTGCTGTAACCGTTTATGGGGTGTAAAACGCTGCAGGGCGAAAGGCAGAATGTAGGGAGCCGGCACGGAGCGTACAGATGTGCAGAACTGCGGGGGGAAAACGCTGTCGGCTTCACCTTGAAAAAAAATAAAAATAATAATAATAAAAGAAATCCGGGGTAAGATTTGATGAGTTCTAATTAGTGAAAGGAGCTCGTTCTGGCGTGCACACACAAAAAAACCCCTAATTGAGCCCCGAGCCGGTGTTTGGGATGCTGGGACGCCCTCTGTTGTTGCAGACAGAGGCAACTTCAAAGAATCAGCATTAAGAGTGTGTAATAAATGACGGGTCTGCAAACTGTCTGGAATTCGGCCCTTAATGAGTTTACAACTGTCCAGCCACAATTAAGATTTTCTACAAAAGCCTTTTCATTTGTTTTGTCTGGCTGTTTTAGATAAAGCGAGCGAGCGGAAATAACAGCCTTTATGAGCCTCCCCCCTGGCCGGGCTGGGCCAGGCGCGGACGCGGACGCGGAGCTGCGGGGCGCGGCCGGAGCGGGGCCGCCTGCGCGGTGCAGTTCCGCGGGGCGAGGCGGGCTGGCGGCGCGCCGGCTCGCCGGCAGGTGGCGCTGTGAGCCCGCGAAAGAGCAGCCGCCCGCCATCAAGCGCTCGGTCGCCTCCCGCCAGCGCCTAAAATGTCGACGGTGTGGGTGCAGAACGCGGGCCGGAGCTACGGGCTGCGCGTCAACAAAGGCCGAGTTCTTTTTTTTTTTTTTCCCCCACTATTTTCTGCTCTCTCTCTCCCTCTCTCTATCTCTCTTCTTTTAAAATCAATTTCTTCTTCTTCTTTATTTTTATTTTTTTCCTTTCCTTCTCCTTATCCCCGGCTCACTGAGCCATTAAGGCACAGTGCGGGTAGCATCAATATGTGGCCGCAGCAAAAGCTCGCTCCTCACCGCGTCCCGCGTTATTATTCTCAAAGCACCCACCACGCTCCCTGTCAGCTGACAAAGCCGCGGCACAGAGCTGCGAGCCCGTCCCCTCCTTCCCCAACCCTCGTCCCGCTCAAATCCTCCCGTTTTCCAGGTGAGGAATGACATATACAGAAAATGCGGGGACAGCAGCGCTGGGACAGAGCAGGGGGAATCGGGGTGCTCCCGGCTCCAGCCGGCCCTGCCCGGGGCATGCGGTGGGCAAGGGCAGCCCTCGGAGAGCGTGGCAAAGACGGGAGAAGCAGCGCTGTGGAGCTTTAATTGGAAAATTATTTACTGGAGAAGGGAAATTTCCAACATCTGTCTCTGGTACAAATAAAACTCTGCCTGCGTCCTCGGCAATTCCCGCTCCGTGCGACCCGCTGTACTTCCATCGCACAGATGCTAACAGTCGGGTACTCCGCAAACTTGACGCGTCTCAAAGTCACTCCTAACTTCTTCTGGCCCGCTACTCTGATTTCCTCCTCTCGTTTTCGTATTTTTCTCCGTTTTGCTTTTGTTGGCTTTCGGTCTTTGGAATGAGAAGTAGTGGGGAATGGTAGCTCGTGTTCACATGTTGCCGAAAGAAAGGGGGGAAAGTAATTGGAGAGAAAACAGAAATGGGAGGGAAGGAAGCACAAAATATGCTCTGCTAGAAGATCGTTGTATTTTTCAACTTAGAGTCAGACAAGAGAAAGAAAAAAAAAAAAAAACTGAACAGCGCTGTGTAACAGAACCGCTTTCTCTGCGTTTTATTTACATTTCCTTAAATCAAAGCCAATATCTTAACATCGAAATTCAGCATCGGAAAGGAATGCGCGCTCTGTGCTATTTTTTCCCCACCCCGTTGTAAAGATTTAATTCTTTCTAGGGATGGAGAGCAGCAGCCACTCCCCGCTTTCTAATAAGAGCCTTCTTATCAAATGTTTGTCTACAAAGGCGTTGTTAAACTTGTTATGATTAATTCCTTTTTTTTTTTTTTTTCTTTTTTTTCCGAGGGCAGTAAAACTGCACCGAAATTAAGAAGTGTTTATGCGTCGTCATGAGAAGTAATAACGTGGCACAGCGCGCTCCATTATAATCGGGGATAAATTACGGCGGGATTCTAAAACAACAAAAATCCTCTCTAGTGCGAAGCACATCGCTATCCCTCTCGTCACATGAGCCATAACAGGGCAGTGCTCCCAGGTCGCGCGTAACTTCTGAGCACCGTTTAATCGCTACCTTTGACTTCCCGGAAAAGCTCGGGACGCACAGTGAGGCACCCCCGGTTCTCCCACGTAAAGAATAAATGCAGTGAATGCCGCCTGGAGGATTATTTTTAAAGCGTGTGAGAAGACTGCGGTGACGGAAACCTCGCAATCTCAGCTCGCTCGCTATTTCCTCGACTGTAATATATAGACATATATATACACATTTGAATACGTTTTGCAGGCTGCTGTGTCCGAGGTTGTTTGCATGCGACAGAATGAGACATTTCGGGGCTATTTCCGAGCAGCGCCGTGCCGGCGTTGGGCGAATACGCGGGGGGTGGGCGCGCACATAAGGCGGTGGGGGCCAATTCGGAGCTGCTTCGACGATTTGTTTGGCGGGAGGCATTTTGACGTTGTTTTTATTATTATTTGTGGGTTGGCAGATAAAAAGCTGCTAGCAAAATAAAAGAAAAGGCGGTGGTCACAACACACCCCCGCAAAGCTAACGGCATCGCAGCGCTTATTTTGCAGACACGCGGAACCCGAAATACACGCGCCCAGCCCCGCCGTTCGCTTCGACGTTATCAATATTAGAGTCTAGACATGGCTAAGTTTGCCGTTTCTTTCTCTTCGCGTCTTGGTATGTTGTCACCAGAGGAGCAGTTTATTGGTCTAATGTCATCTACTTCAGCTTCTTTGATCTTCCGAGTCGTCGTCTTGTTTGCTTCGCGTTCGTTTAACTTCTTGGGCCTTTCTTCCCCTCCGGCAGCCTCTTCTGCCGGAATGTTCCCACATCGACCGCAGCGATATTGCCAAAATCGGAATAAACTAGAGCAGAGCCCTTTTCTCCAGATTCTCCCCAGCGCCTCCGAGTATCAGCCGCGTTTTCACGTGCCTGGCGCTTGGCACATCTCTAGGAGCAGCCGCCACATTTGCATGCTCTGAGGCTGCAATATCTCGGGGACCTCGCTCTAAGAATTTACTCGCTTCTGTCAGAAACCTGTATTCATGGGGCTGCAATAACCGCGCATAAAGGCTCCCCAAGGGGGAGCGTGGAGGTGTGCGGAGGGAAGAGGGTGTTCCACGTTTACAAAACGGAAAGTTTAGGGTCCGTGCGAAATATCGCCAAGAACAATTTTAAGTGGTGAGAAAGTCTTTGTACACGGGGCACCAAACTATAATTGAAAGGAGAATTTCCGGGGCAATTCCATTGTGCTCCTTCCAGTTTATGATGTGCAATACAGGCAGGCAGTAAAAGCTGTCTTTACCAGGACTCCCTGTCTGAGGGAAGGAAACTCATTTTACGATCCGTTTAAAGGAAGGGCACGGTGCAGCATCCTCAATGCAGAGCCATTCGCATTGTTGGGGAGCCGGGGTTTAGAAAACCGGCTGCGTTCCCCTCGAGCTGAGAAGAACGGGGCCGTAAGGTATGTACAACGGAAAGGTAAAAGGGGTGCTGGGAAAAATATATAAATAACAATAATAAATAAGGCTCAGGGCAGAAGACATTTGCAGGCGGCTCCTTGAGTGCAACGTATTGTTTTCTTTCTGCTTAAGGCGCTCAGAAAGTTGAACGCTCCCTCAACCGCACGTTGTACGCTGCCTTTATTCGGGGGGCGGTGGTATTTTCCTTTCTACCAGGGGAGGAGGGCCGGGCCGACTCGCGGAGAGCTCCGCGCACCCCTATGCTAGGTTCGGGCTCCGGGAACCGCAGTGGCGGGACGGGGTCGGTTGTGCCCCGTAGCCGAGTGCGCCCCAAACCCCCTCCCCGCATACCAGTGACCCCTCTGCGTGCTTGCAGCACGGACAATAATAACAATAACGAGAGCTTTCACTTCTTTCAAGTTGTTTTGTTTTCAACGTTCTCCCCTTTGGCCCCCCTCCCCGTCCCCCCGCCCCGTCTAACGAGGACCACATGGTGCCCGCCCCCCCCGTTTCCCCCTCCCTCCGCCGTCGCCGCCGAGCGGTTCCGCGGAGCGGGACCAGGGTCCCCCCCCCCGCTCGGCGGAGGCGGCGGTGCCGTCGGGGGGCGGAGGGGAGGCGGCTGGACGGCGCGGGGCGGTGGCGGCGGCCCCGGCGGCCCCGTCCATGGCCGGGCACCGGCGGGCCGCGGCCGGCACCACCTGTGAGGCGGGCGGGGATTGGCGGGCGGCGTCATATGACCGGTCACGTGCTGGAGGCAGCTCAGTCCAAAAGAAAATGGGGTTTGGTGTAAATCTGGGGGTGTAATGTTATCATATATCACGCTACCTCGTAAAACCGACACTGAAGCCTGCCGGACAACAAATCACAGGTCAAAATTATGAGCTCTTCGTATTATGTGAATGCGCTTTTTAGCAAATATACGGCGGGGGCTTCTCTTTTCCAAAATGCTGAGCCTACTTCTTGCTCCTTTGCAAGCAACTCCCAGAGAAGCGGCTATGGACCAGGCGCGGGTGCCTTTGCCTCCTCCATGCCCGGCTTGTACAATGTGAACAGTACCATATATCAAAGCCCGTTCTCTTCCGGATACAGCCTGGGCTCTGATGCCTACAACCTGCATTGTTCCTCTTTTGATCAGAACATTCCCGTCCTCTGCAATGACCTAACCAAACCCAGCTGTGAGAAAGCGGAGGAAAGCAACCTGCACAACCAGGCTGAGGCTAATTTCCGGATATACCCCTGGATGAGGTCTTCAGGTAGGGGCGAGCGGGGCTGGAGCTGTGGCAGCCAGGCAAAGCGTGTCGCCAAAATTACTGTCAGCACAGCCTTGATGGTTTTAATTATAGCCGAGGCGCCATTGCGTAGAAAGCCCGTGGCATTGTATGTAAATGAGTATCATAAAACTTTTTATTGCCCAATTAATGGGTTCTAGCCTCGTAAATTTATTTAACTCCATTTGCTATGGAATTTTAGCATTGAGTTTATTCGCGCTTTTTGCTGCAGAAATGCGGAGAGTTGGCTGCGTGCTCGCAGAGCCCCCTCGGGTGAGCGTCCCCATTGCCCTCCGCCGAAGTCGGGCAGAAAAGCTCCGCCCGGGGGGGGAAGGGGAACCCGGGAGCGGGATCGGCTGTGCCGGGGCTCCGCAGGGCCGCGCCGCGCCGCGTTCCCCCCCTGCCCCCTCCGCGGAGATAAGAATCTATAGAAACGGACTGAACAGGAAAGCGGAGGGAGGGGAGGGAGCCGGGGGGGGCTGGGGGCGAGAGTGTGTGAAAAGCGAGAGCTCGCTTCTGGGGCTGAACGCGGGGTATTGTTTACGATCCGGGCGGGGTAGGGGAGCGGGGTGTGTGTGTGTGTGTGTGTGTGTGCAGGGAGCCCCAGACATTAAAATAAAATAAATACTGCCCGGCCTTCCAGATTTTTATTTCCCCTTGCGAAACGCAAAAGCCTGGAAGGTTTTAGGGAAATATATCGCCCGGGGAAAAGTTCCTCCTCCCAAAAGCAATTTCCTCCTCCACCTCCTCTCCTGAATGCTTTCTCTCCACTTTTTCTATGTCTCGAGCAACTTAATTTTTGCTTTGCCCGAGCAGGACAGGTCGTGTCGCTGAAATGTCTTTGTTAGGACAAAGTGTGTGTGTATGGGGGGGAGGGTTGAGT